TCTGGCCTTGTTTACTGTCCCTGTAATCATCCATCTAATCACCTCAACCTGGGGTCTAGAATATGTTCTCCAAAAATCTGATATAATCTGCTTCTGTGTTTGGGATACTGTTTTTCCAGTATTTACTTATTGGAATGTGTGATGTCAATTCTTGGGATTTATGCTCAGTTTTATTTCTTATTCTTAATACACATTCAGTGGCATTTTTACAGGAAAATTATGTTCCTGGAATGCATCCTTTTCACCCAGTATACTTTTACTGACACACAGTAAACAAAGAAATCTATTACCATTCAAAAGGGGTTGGTGATAGAATCAGTAAAGGATTCTTTGTTACTGTATAAACAAAACAGTGCTCATCATTTGCTTTGGATCTTTTCCAACTTGTTTTAATCAAACCATGTTTGCCCTGACAGAGCAAAAGGCCAATTATAATTTCAGTTTAATGGAGAGAATATCAAAGGACATTGCAAGGATAATGAGATTGAAGTTGGACTTAGGTCAGCATCTATTTCATTTTTGCTAAAAACCTAGTGGAATATACAGGACCACTTGATATTGATAAATATAATTTTTTTCTCTTTTCCAATGGAGATTTGATAATGGTCAGCTTTATCAGATGGAGAAGAAACCAGCTTCAAGTGTTCTAAAGTGTACAGCAGAGTCCACACAGAGACAAGTACTTTCCCAGGACTTAAGATCTTGGGAGGAGACACAAACAGTAGAATTCAAATCCCTTTCAGTGAGGGATCTGTCTGAGAGATTAACTAAAAGTTACCCCAACTCTGCTTTCTCCTGAACTCTCTTTTCTTTCAGGACAGCAGGTGAGACGGTCTACTGATCTGTGCTTGTAGGTGTACTACAGTTGAGAAGGGGGAGTGCGTATTATTTTCAAAACAAGAAAACTTCACTTCTTGTTCTGCTACCAAGAACTATTTAATTGAGTTCAAAACTGGACACGGGTTAACTTCAAAATACTTATAAAACAGTATCGGAAGTTCCTTCATGATCTAAAATTCTGAGATACGTTACGTCAACTGTAAATTATCATATTAAAGGGGTAATGAGATCAAATAAATAACTTACTGAAATGTAAACAAAGTTGTTTCCCTAAGAAGAAAAGGTTAGTTCCTGAATTTAATGAAGTTACTGAACTACAAAAGGAATGAAAGAACATCTGGGTTGAGGTACCCAAAGTAAATATGTTATATTATGTAACAGTTAAATTAAGTAAAACAGGTAGCATTTTCTTTTATTTATTTACTTATTTATTTATTTTTCTTGAGACAGTCTCTTATGTTACCCTTGGTAGAGTGCCATGGTATTACAGCTCACAGCAACCTCAAACTCTTTGGGCCTCAGCCTCCTACTAAGAAGCTGGGAGTACAGACACCTGTCACAACGCCTGGATATTTTTTGGTTGGGGTTGTCACTGCTGTTTAGCAGGCCTGAGCCAGGCTCGAACCCACCAGCCTCAGTGTACATGGTGGCACCCTACTCATTGAGCTACAGGTGCCGAGCCAAAAGGTAGCATTTTTTTCTGTGTGTGGTACATAACTGACTAGTGTTTAGAATCAATATAAAGGAGGAAGAGTTTGAATATCGTGAGTCATCAAAGACAAGGTGCCTTCAAGATGCTTCCAACCTTGTGAGAACACCCCAATGTGCAGTGATTAAATTTAAAGTTCCCCAGAATACCAATATGGGTGACTATAGAGAGCTGGTATTGCGAGGGACAGCAAAGAACAAAAATGTTTATCTCATACCCATACCAGACTGCAGTCATTCATTCCTAACTCCTAACTCATTTTTTAGCCCTAAAATGGCACAGTTGATGAATAATAGAACTCATCTCTTAATTTGTTTTGATGTTAGATGCCACACAGTAGATCTCTCTCTTATTATATAATAAAAGCTAATAATTTTAGCTATTTGATTCTGTATACAATTTTGAGTCCTATAGTACTGATATCTCAAAAATGCATCATCAGTACTCATATATTTTATTTATTCAACAAATATTTAATTGCACACCTGAACACATGTATATACTGCACTAGCTTGTAAAATTCAAAGTAATAAAAACCTTGCTCTCTGTGAGCTACACAGCCTAGGCAACAAAGGGCAAATATTCAATGAAGGTGGTCATTCCCACATTGTCTGACTCAAGAGGGCTTGAGACAGAGTGCCAAGAACAATGCTGAGAGAAGTCAGGAAAAATCTCCCAAAGGAGAGGCAAGTTGTATTTTAACAAGTAGAGAAGAAAAGGGCTATGTGCATACGTGAGAAAATAAGAAAAAAGTCAAAGAGCTGCAAGGAGCTCCTTATTACTGTAGCTTAAAGCATGATGGGTTGGAGAAATAGGATGGATATATTGAGACTATGGTCTGGGACTATACTGGGTAACAAAAATACTAAAGTAAATAAGATGGAGCTCGTGCTCCTGAGGAGCTTACGGTCTAGAGGAGGAAAAAGATCCTCAAACAGTTCATTTCAGTAAGGTTGGTGTTGAAACAGAAGAACATGTAGGAAAATGTGGCTGGGCCAGCATAAGAAGGGCCTTATCATCAATACATATATTTGAAATTGCATCCTATGGGCAACAAAGAGTCACTGAAAAATTCTGGAATGGGTATGACAATAGCAGCAGTATGGATGACGGATTGGAAGGTATCTAGACTAAAACAATAAGGAGGTTGCTGCCAAAGCCCAGAGAATGTGATGAACCTGTATGCGGCCACCCTGCCGTGGCAATTATACAATGGTTTTTCTTTCTTTCTTTCTTTTTTTCAAGCCAGCCAAATGGAGTGATATTTTCTGAAATTCCTTCTATTTAAGGGCTTAGCAAGAAGTTATATAAAAGAGATTTTAAGACTTCCTTGAAAAAAAATAATGAAAACACAAGTTTAAAATTTAATACAGATGACCTGAAGTCTAATAGCAGACATGAAAGCCAGGAATATCAATCTGATGGAAAATTTTATGTATAAATATATAAAATGACAGAAACTACCTATTAAAACCTAAGAAACTTATAAGACGAATAGAAAAGCAGAATAAAAAATTTTATGTACAGTATATTATTTAATACAGTGTGTAGTATATGCTGTCAGACTTAAAATAGTTAAAATAATTTTGTTATTATTTCACTTTTATAATAATAGAGTAAAATGAAATGAAAGAAATAAAATTAACAATAACATTTATTATATTCACTGGGCCTGACCCAGATGAATTACACCCAGTTTCTGGATCTTGGTTTCCAAGAATGGTTTTCACAAATCATCTTGCTGTCCAGCTCTAAAATTATTAAAATACAAAACAACTGGCTTAAGAAAGATCCTTAATATTTGTATTATGAACAATTGTCACCTTCCTGATAGAGGTAAATGCAAATTTAACAAGCTAAAAAGACTCAAAGTCAAAGAACAAGGAGTAAACAAATCACATAAACAATTTTTGCATGTGTGTTTCCCTGGAATGCTTCAGAGAAAAGCAGCTCCAGAAAATGCAGGGGCACAATCACTCACAGCAACCTCAAACTCCTGGGCTCAAGTGATTCTCCTGCCTCAGCCTCCAGAGTAGCTAAGACTAAAGCCACCCATCATGTCTGACTAATTTTTCTATTTTTTTATTTTTGGAGAGAAGGGGGTTTGCTTTTGCTTAGGCTGGTCTTAAATTCCTAGAATTATAAGATATACCAAAACTATGTAAGAAAGAAAAAGAAACATTACACTTGGTTCTTAATATAAATTTAATAGAACAGAATAATCCTGCAATAAAACTACATTTCCAAAGGGCTACACTCCCACTGTAAGATTAAAGAGATAAACTAGCATGCAGAAAGGGACAGCAAAGAACTTTGTACTTTGCTCTTAGGTAGAAGGGGGAGAAAAAATATTTCCTTGGGATGGAAACCCCAAGCATGTCAACTATCTGAATTAAAGCTAATACTGTGGTTCAAAACAAACAAGCAAAGACTAAAGTGGTCTCAGGTTAGCAGTGTCCTCAAATGGTTGGCAGAAACAAATACAAGATTCTCCTTAGAAGAGTAAGATTTCAATCCTGCACAACAGCAATTGAAGATGCCATCTCATTTCAAAGATGAAAAAGGTACATCTTAGAATCAATGAAAACCAGTCAATATATAGCCAATCTTAAATTTGATGTTTTAGAATTACCTGAGGGAATTTTTAAAAAACACAATCACCAGGCTGCATACCAAGAGATTCTCAGATAGAGAGGTGCTTCAGATAGTTTAGAAATCAAACCCTGGAATCTTGATTTTAATAAGCCATTCAACAGTTTTTTAATACACTAGACAAGACACTAGCATCTGTCTGCAAAATTAGCTAAAAACTCCTAGTGTAGACAACAAAGAACAGCAGGATTTTAATCGAGCATAATTTGATCAGGCTATTTAGGAAGACTAATCCAGTGCAGACAGACTTTGTGGACAGAGACAGATTAGAAAAGCTAAAGATAAGAGAACAGAATATCTAACAGGAGAGTAATGAAATAATTTTAAGATTAGCAATGATGATAATCGTTTAAACAGTAATAGTGGGAGGAAAACAGAGTATTAAGGAGGCAGAATTAGACAGAATTTTATAAAAGCCAGATGAAGGTAGAGGCATATACAGGATCTAATTCTGAAAAATTTTAGAAGACCCTTCCCTACTCCTAGGCATCAGGACCACCGGGCCTTTAAAAGTAAATCTCATTTGGGCATGGTAATCTACCACCTTTTAGCTGTGTAATAAATAAAGTATACAATGTCCTATACTACATAAACATCAAATGTTCCAAATGCTACTAAAACCCAAAATGATCTCCAAGTTTAGAGGTAAGCATAGATGGATTTATTCTTTAATGTTTAACATCTCTATTAATCACTGGGAAGAACTGAAAAACTGAAATCTCTTTGGGCAAAAGAAAAAATTTTTACTGATTGATAAATTTATAATTATGAACAAAAAACAATGAATTAACAAACTTACGCTGAATATGAATGAACTGTTTTGGCTGTTTAAACTCTCCTTTGTACAAGCGATTGTAATAGTTGACGTTGCTCTCTGCCTCAGGAACGGGAATGACCATGTTCTCTTTTTTTTCTCTAAATACTTGCTGTGCTGAAATAGCTCGCTGTAAATGATGTTCCTGGAAAATGTAAAGTAGGCAACATAAGTTGTTTTAATAATCAATGCATAATTCTACTTTAAAGTAATACTTTGTTTAATTTAAGTGCAAAATGCTTTAAGAATCAATTATAGTTTCTTCTCTGAAGACCTGTAGAAGCAACACTGCCAATCATTCCCTCTTAATACTTGTAGCTCACACTGATATCACCTTAAGATTACAATTTTAATAAGTGGAATTAAAAAAAGTATACACAAACTAGAAATTAAAATTTCAATTACAAGAAAATTGATCCCTTATTTTCTAAATTAATTGAGGTGTTTGCCACCATTGCCAGATTAAGGAAAAATATACACATTACAAGACACAAACCCGTATCACAAACGTAAACATTCTACATTTATACACTTGAAGCTTAGTACAAAATTCTGAAGAATTCAAAGGAAGATAAAATTATGTCTAATAAATTATTATCAAGGCAGAAAATATTTTTCAATGAAGGGTAAAAGTTCCCATAAAATAGATCCAGATTCTAATCACTTTTCATTGCTTTCATCACTTATTGAAATAGCATCTTAAATGTTTTCCCTACAGTCCTTCCTTGCCCCACAATGGCCCATTCCCAAAAAAGGGCTTTATCTTTTGGAAGGTAAATTAGGTCATGCCACTACCCCAAAGGATCCATATCATATTCAAAGCGAAGATTAAAATTACGCTATGACCCACTAGGCCCTGTATTTCTCTGGCTACATCTCCTACCTCTCCCCTCTTCCGTCCTTTCCTCTAACCACCACTGCTTCTCCTTGCTGTTCCTAAATATCCAAATGGCCTGCTATCAAAATTCCTTCAAGTCTCATCATAGCAGGAGAAGTACTCCATGACTTCCTTATCTAAAATAAAAGAGTACTCATTCTCCAGCATTCCTTCTCGTCTTTATTTTTGTCCATACCATTCAGCAACATCTGACACAGTAAAGATCTTTTTTTTTATTGTCCATCTCCCCCAGACATAAAGTAAGCTCCAAGAGAGCAATGATTTTGGTTCTTTTAACCTTCATATCCCTAGTGCCTACTACAATGGTCAACACACAGAAGTTGCTCAATACTTATGTTAACTGCATGAATAAAACCTTTACCAGATTCCTACTATATGTGAAGCTATGCAAAATACTTTACACAAAGAAAATGAGACAAAGACATTTGGTAAGATGTACAAGGTCAAACAGCTCTAAGTGACAAAACATATGAATCCAGGATATATTTCTGCAAAACTAAAATTCTTAGTTCTATACTATTACATCAATATTTTCTTTAAGTTCTATGGAGTCTATGAAATTAGATGATCTTAATTTCATTCACGTCTTTAGAGGATGTGAAAAGTTACTATACAAAAAGAATTAGTGCAATGATTAAAAAATGTTTCATGCAGCAGGATATAAACAAAATTAAAGTGAAGGTCCATTATATGCAAAAGCACACAGTAGACTAGTTAAAAGTAATACTTTAAAAGGTAGGATGATGGAAGAAGACAGACATCAAATAATGATAACAAAAGAACTATATTAATTTCGTGATCTTCTGCCATTATTAGTAAATCAAGCAGAGAGGAAGAGGATATAAAAACAAAAAAGAGGCTCGGCGCCTGTGGCTCAAGCGGCTAAGGCGCCAGTCACATACACCTAAGATGGCGGGTTCGAATCCCCAGCCCGGGCCCGCCAAACAACAATGATGGCTGCAACCAAAAAATGGCCAGGCGCTGTGGCGGGCACCTGTAGTCCCAGCTACTTGGGAGGCTGAGGCAGGAGACTCGCTTGAGCCCAGGAGTTGGAGGTTGCTGTGAGCATGATGCCATGGCACTCTACCCAGGGGGATAGCTTGAGGCTCTGTCTCAAAACAAAACAAAACAAAACAAAAAAAGGGCAGCACCTGTGGCTCAAAGGAGGAGGGCGCCAGCCCCATATGCTGGAGGTGGGGGGTTCAAACCCAGCCCCAGCCAAAAAAAAAAAGAGAGAGAAAAGAAATACTACATGAGGAATGGGAGAAACAAGTTTCTATATCAGGAGGTCCTCAAACTTTTTAAACAGGGGACCAGTTCACTGGCCCTCAGGCCGTTGGAGGGCCGGACTGTGGGCCCCGGGACGAGTGGGCTGCTAAGCAGGACAGGAAGCAGCAGCAAAAACACCCGCTGGATAAATAGGCGGGCTGCATGCAGCCCACAGGCCCATAGTTTGAGGACACCTGTTCTATACTATGGATAAGTGAATAGTAGGCCAAGACAGCTACTAACAGTCTCACTAACAAGGCATCAAGTTTCATCAGACCCAAGCAAGTCACACCTGATCAACTCCCAATGACCATCTATCTATACTACATCATAGTCAACATCTCTTTAGCATTTTGTCAGACTAATTTAAATCAAGAAAGCCCACGCATACTCAAGAAAAACGCCTTGAAATTTAAATGGAAGAGCAGAATTCTAGGAATAGCAAAGTATACTTAAAAAAAAAAAAGCATAAAATGAAGCACAAAAAGGAAAACTTGCCAACCAAAAATTACAAAATATTCATAAAACCATAGCAATTTTAAAAAATGTATCAAGGCTTGGTGCCCATAGCTCAGTGAGTAGGGCAATGGCTACATATACCGAGGCTGGCAGGTTCGAGACCAGCCAGGCCTGCTAAACAATGACAACTACAACCAAAAAATAGCTGGGTGCTGTGGAGGGCACCTGTAGTCCCAGTTACTTGGGAGACTGAGGCAAGAGAATCACTTAAGCCCAAGAGTTGGAGTTTGCTGTGGGCTGTGAGGCCACAGCACTCTACCCAGGGCATCATAGTGAGACTCTGTCTCAAAAAAAAAAAAAAAAATTAAAAAACAGTTTACATTTATGTGTGTATTTTTAAAACACTACATAAAAATTATTACTGTATAATAATAAGCACTTTTAAAAAACCTTTATTTATTTAATTCTCATAGCAACATTGTAGGGTAGGCAGCATTATTTCCATTTTATAAATGAAAATACTAAGGTACAAAAAGGTTAAATGACTTATCCAAAAGCACCTGGCTATTACACAGCAGAGCCAAAGTTGAAGCTCTTAACGACACTGCCTCTCATAAATCAATGTAACATGAGATGGAATAAGTCAGAACTGTGTATAAACAGGAACTTAGGATAGAGATAGTACCACACACAATGAGCAAAGGCCAAACTGCTCTAAAACAAAGAAAAATCAAATGAAAAGGGCAACCTTACGCCCACATACAAAGAGAAGTTCCAGGTAAATTATAAGCATACATAATAATATTGTGCTTTGGGTGTGTGTGTGTAGCTGATCGTTTAATTTTTTTTGTTTAGGGATAGGAGTCTATTTTACCAAGGCTGGTCTCAAACTCCTGGCCTCAAGTGATCCTCTTGCCTTAGAATCCCCAAATGCTGGCTCTGTTTTGCTTTATTGCACTTTGCAAATACCACATTTTTAAAAATTAAAGATTTTTGGTAACCCAGTATTGAACAAATGGCTGCTGCCATTTTCCAACAGCATGTGATCACATCTTTGTCATGTTTAGATAATTCTCGCAATATTTCAAACTTTTTCACTATTATATGTTATGATCATCTATGACCTTTGATGTTATCACAGTAATTATCTGGAGGCAATACAGATCATACCCATGTAAGGTGGCAAACTTAACTGATAAATGTGTGTGTTCAGACTGCTCTACCATCTAGCCATTCCCCATCTCTCCGCCTCTGTTCTGGCCTCCCAATTCCTTGAGACACAATATTGAAATTAGAGCAGTTAATAACCCTACAATGTCCTCAAAGTTTTCAACTGAAAGGAAGAGTTGCATATCTCTCATTTTCAATCAAAAGCTAGAAATGATTAAAGCTTAGTGAGGAAGGAAGCCAAGATAATTTGAAAGCTAGGTTTTCTTGTGCCAAACAGACAAGTTGGAATGCAAGTCTATCAACCACTGACAGATATCCAAAGTGCTATACCAGTGAACACACAAATAGTAAGTAATACAGCCTTATAACTGATATGGAGAAAGTTTTCGTGGTCTGGATAGAAGATCAACCCAGCCACACATTCCCTTTAGCCAAAACTTAATTCAGGGCAAGGCCCTAACGCTTTTTAATTCTTTGAAGGCTGAGAAAGACAAGGAAGCTGCAGAAGAAAAGTCAGAAGCTAGCAAAAATTGGTTCATTAGGTTGAAAGAAAGAAAATGTCTCCAAAACATAAAAGTGCAAGGTGAAGCAGCAAGTGCTGGTGAAGAAGCTATTGCAAGTTATCCCAAAAGACCTAACTAAGGTAAGTAATGAAGATGGCTACCCTAACAGATTTTCTTTTTTAAAAAATATATTTAAATTATGGATTTGCTAGTAAGTTTAAAAATAATTTACAGTAATCACACATACACAGAAAATGAGGAATGCCTAACTAAATTAGTTATGATTGCAAAACTGGTTTGGGGAATCAATTACACCTCAACCAGACACATTCATTTGCATTTCTATGAAAAACAATCACTTGCATTACTCCCAGTATTAAGATGCCTTTGATATAATGAAAGGTACAAATAACCTGTAACCAGATAAGACACCAATAATCTTTACTCCATTTCAAAATCTTTCCAATTTTTTAAAGTAAAACATGGACTATAGAACTAAAACAGTAACGCAATATAAGTATTAACCATATATAGGCCAGGCACAGTAGCTCACACCTCTAATCCTAGTATTCTAAGAGGCCAAAGCTGGTGAATTACTTGAGCTTAGGAGTTGGGAGACCAGCATGAACAAGAGTGAGACCCTGTCTATACTAAAACGAGACTGGGCATTGTGGCACTACCTTCTTGGGAGACTGAGGCAAGAGAATTGCCTGAACCCAGGAGTTTGAAGTTGCTGTGAGCTATAACACCATGGCATGCTAGCCTGCAGTAACTGAGTCAGACTCTGTCTCAAAAAAAAAAAAAAAAAAAGAACCATATATTGAAAGAACATACCTAAACTTTGAC